TCACTGCAAAAATGTTATAAAATAAGCATACAGAGTTGAGAAAAAGACCTAAATCTCATTGTTCTTTTGCAAATTTATATACACAGAATCAACCCCTCACTGCTAAGTTTCAAAAAATTCAATGAATAAAAGATTATTGGAAGTGAAATAGATCTGCAGAAGAAGCTACATGTGAGTAGGGAGGAGCAAGTCATAAAAATGAAAGTGAATTTTTTAAGCTGAATATTCCACAAGATTTATCATATTATTTTTTCCCTGGAGAAAATCGGTAATGGCAGCAGACCAAGAAGAGACCCAGTTTGGAAATATTTTAATGAAGTAAGGCGTGCATGCATGCAAATTACACAGAAAACCATGATTTAAATTTAGTCTTACTGCCTAGTGGTTTAAATGATGATATAACTCATAATTTAAATCAATTTGATTTAAATCAAATCCATCATGGCCAGCATGTTTTGCATCTCTTTCACTAGAGCCGTAACAGCAAGAGCTACATTTCTCATCACTTAACAGCATATATGCACAGCAAAATTATATCTGCAGTTTATAAAACATTTTATATAGATATATCGATTATATATGGATATATAGGTATATTCTTTATAGCATACATAATTTGAAATGAAATGTGTTATTACAAGGCAAATAATATATTACAAAAAAAGAAAAACATTACTTTAGAATTGGTGTCTCAATGTATAGTGGCCATAAATGGAAGCTTCATGTTCATTGACAATGCACCTTTGACTATCAGATGCTTGAGACAAAACTAGAAGAGATTATCATAACTTAATACCCAGTTTTTAGGCATTCAGATATGTCTGGCTGGCTGCTGTTGAAAACAGCATGATGAACTAGATGGCTTTTATTTAATCTGGCAAGGCTTCAAAACCTATTACTTGTTCAAAGATATTAGTATCTCTAAGAACATTCTGGGTAGAAGCTAAATTCCTTGTTATTCAGCTGAACAGTACTAAAGGCAAGGAGGAAGTACTAAAGAACACCAGGTGGGGGCCCAGTGACCAGGAAAAATAGTCTGATGCTGAATTTGCTTGTTTCTTTAGCATAGTGAAATGCCAGATATCACATTGGAAAACATTAATGTACTCCAAGGTAGATACACATAAACCTGTGAACTCACTTTACCTATTTCCTCTAGATTGCTATTCTGTCTTTCTATATTTAGCAATTGGGGAGGGCAAAAGGAATTGGTGTGGAGTATCAGCCCCAGCCTCCTCCCCTTCCTATATATCAGCATGCCCCTTTTTGTCCTGAGGCCTAGCTGGCAGGGTACTTTCCATGTCAGCTGCGAGGGGGCTAGGGTGGTAGCCTGGGTCTTCAGAGACCCAGTTCTGACATAGTAGGATCTCTCAGCTGGGGCTTCAAAGAATCCTATGGCCTAAAATATTACTGGAAACTTGCCTAGTATTTGCTGATTGTTTCTTCCTCCTTTTAGTACTATTCGGCTGTATACCAAGTTTACTTTCCGCTCAGAATGATCTGGAAAGGCTAATACAGTTAGGGCACACTCTTGTGTATACTTGGACAGAAAAAAGTCCTGAATCTTCTAGCATTCCCCAGCCAACTATAAAGGCAAGTAAATAAGAAATATAGTGTTAGCACTATCTTAAAGATTATGAAAATATTGCCTTAAATCATTTTGTTAAATCTCTCCTAAATTTAATAAACTTTGACTTAACTATTGCATGGAATATTTAGTTTAGATTCATGTTAAATGAAAGTTTTTTTAAAAAACCCTACAACCTGTAAAGCTTACATATACTTGAAATTATTTAAGTAACTACTGATTAGGAGCTGCAGCTATGTACCTGCTTACTAGAGTGTAAGACCTATTAAACTCCATGGGATTTGCACAAGATCAAGATGAAAATCTGCAACCAAGCACAAACGCATATGTTCCAGCAATGCCATTGTTATTCACCCATGACCTTTTCAATCTGGCTTATTGGGTATACCAGGTCAGCCTTGTAGGAACAGGCAGATGCTGTTTAATACTGTTCAAAGTTGCCACATATGCTGTTTAATAAAATGGAGCTATAGCTTTGGGGTGGAGTGTCATTACCCAGTCCTCAATTTCTTTGACTAAGCACCCTGAGGCGGCCATCTCTGTCTTAAACAAATGCCTAAACACTGTGGTCAACTTAATGGAGAAACAGGCTAAAGCTAACCCTAGGGAAGGCAGAGGGAAATCTGGTAAGGAATTCCTAAATTTTGGAAGGGTTTAGTCTACTTGTGACAGATGAAGTTGAAATACCACTTATGGAACAGACTAAGAGCCTAGGGGTAATTCTCTATCCTGACGTGATAAATAATTAAAGGGAGTTGTCATTATTTATCATCTTTATAGGCCCAGTCTCTTAAATAATGGGAACATGGGTATGATGATTCTTCCTTGCATTGCTTCCAGGACTAAATACTGTAATGTACTCTCTACTGGTATGATCCCAAAGATTGTGCATGCCACCACCTGTCTCCTACTGACCATCAGAAGATTTGAATATATTCTACCACTATTGAACTGGCTGCCAATTTGTTTCCTGTCCCAATTTGAGTTGCTGGTGCTAACCTTTAAAAAGTTTGGTAACCTGCCTATCTGTGCATCAACCTGTGTGCAACCAACACTTGAGAGGTCCCTGTTTCAACTCACCTGGTTCACATGAGTGGACTGAGAAAAATAGGCCACAGTGACTTATTTCCCCCATAATGCAGCGTGGTCGGATGCCAGCCAGATTTGCCTGATTGTCCTCATTTGCATGGTTTGCCATGTCATCTGAATTCAGGCAGCAACCCTCAAATAACCAAACAGGACATGCCACCCATGTTTGGACAACATGGCAAATCATGCCAGAAAAGTAATTAGGTAAATCTCAACAGCATATGCAGTGGCAAAATAATTCCCCATGGCATATTTTCCTCAGTGCCATCATGCAAACTATTCCCATCATCTTGTTAAAAATATTAAATGTAAGAAAAAGAGCCTTTACTGTAGTGGCCTTGGGTCTATGGTTATTATACTTACTGATGTTAAGTGGTCCACCTTCTGTAAGATTTACAAGATACCTGTTTCAGTTGGCATTTTCCTGTTCATTTCTATTTTTAGAGCAGAATATTCTTTTGTCATATTTATTATTGTCTTTAGATTTATGCTGTTTGAACTACAAGCCACTTTACGCAAAATAAAAGTGGCATATAAACATCCTAGGCTAATAAATATCAAATTATACATGCATATGTTCCAAGAATAAGTACAATTCTTAAGTATAATTCAGACATCAGACTTGTGCATGGTACCAGATTTTCCATGTAATGAAATGTGTCTAACATATAACTAGGTGTATTATGAATGCCTTGCATAAACTGTAAATATCAGACAACACTGCTGATGGTTACCATCCTCTTCTATATATAAAGAAGTCTCTTTCTAAACAGGAATCATGTTAGATACACATTAGATACAGATACTGTTGCACTGAGAACAAAACTTGGCCTCTAACTCTGTATGGCCCAGTCTGTGAAATGGCTAGTGGGAGGATCCTCTGATAGGAATCATCCACCTGTAATGCAGGATGATTGAGAGGATAGGGGAAAGTACAAATTTATCAGTAACTGCTCAATGATAAGGGCACAATGTAGAAGACAAGGCTAAGTGGGTAGAATATGTATTTTTTTAAGTTTCCAGACCCAGGTAATAAACTGGAAGCAAGTGTGGAAGTAGGGTGCATCTTAGCACAGTGCAAGTGCATGGCTCCTGAATGGCTGTGCACCTGAACAGCAACATGCTGAGACACCTCCTGCTTCTTCTACCACTCACCACACACATTATATACGAAGCTGTTAGTAGCCATTTTTAACTCCACCTGTGAATATCCTTGATGATTTCATGAGCTGAGCTACCCCGAAGCCACTACTACCCTGATTTCACTGGCAGACACTTTGAAGGGGTCCACCCCTCCTGAATCCCCACACACTACACCTGTCATATTGAGCATTTTATGGACAAGATCTTAACTGTGAAAGGCAAGGTAGAGATATAACAGAACTCCTGACCTATCAAAATATCAACAACGATAACAAAAACACATTCAAGAGTCTCTTTGCTGAACCTTCACTGTATTATTTTATTTATTGATTTTAATAAATCATTGTTGAAAAATAAAATAATCCTTTGAATTAAATAGAGCCATGGTGGAATATAAGTGGGGAATTAACTGCTTCATAAATAGCATTAAAAGCCTAGCCTGTTTCAGTCCTTTCTTCAACAGATGATGGCTTAATCTTTTTTCACAATTTGTACAATTACTCATAATTTTTACTTGGTCAGTTTAAGCCAGACTTCCTGAACCGGGTATTGGGTAATTCTCAGCATGCCCAACCTTTGGGGTTGATGGAAGCTGCTTTCCAATACATCTGGAAGACACTGGACCAGGGAAAACTGCTTTAAACTTTCCAAACATAGGGAGTACTATATCCGGTAAATAGGGTAACAAACCCAAAAACCCACAAATGTTTCAGACATTGATGCTATGTGTGAAATCACCACAAAACAAATATGCTAAGGAAGAAAGCATCTTATTTTCTTTCCCCTTTTAGCCCAAGCGACCACGTAAGTACAGAAGGCCAGAGAAGGGCTTTTTTTAAAGTTCATAGAAAAGAAATTCTTAGTTGAAGGGAAAATGTTTATTGTGGGGAGAGGAACGGGAAGAAGGCAAATGAGCGCAGAACGGAGAGCAGCTGCCTGCAGCATATCCACTCCCTACTGTCACCCTCTCCAGAGAAGAGAGGACAATAAATAATCAGCCTGCCCTGGTGGCTATGATGGTGGCAGCCGCCGGCTCCGATCGCCTGCTTCCTAGCGGTCGTGCCCGGCCGCCGCTCCTTGGCCAGCGCAGCTTTCTCCACGCTCCTCCCCAGCAGCTCCCACCCCCGCTTCGCCTTCGGGAACGAGGGTGTCAGTCCCGGCCTCCTGGGCGCTCACTCACCGGGTGGAGGTGCCCTTCCTCACATCGCACATCATGCACTTGAAGGCCTCGGCGCTGTTCCGGAAGGTGCACACGCTGCAGTCCCAGTAGCCCTCGTCTGAAGAGGGTTTCGGCTGCCGCTTCGGCCTACCCCCAAAAAGCGGGGAGGGGGAAGGCGGGGAGGGAGAGCGGGGGAGGGGGAGACACGAGCAGGGTTAAGGCACGAAACAAGACATCGCCGCGCTCGCCCCGGCTCTTCCCTCGCCTTCCCGCAGGGCCTCGCCGCGCTCCGGCGGCCCCCGGCGCCGCCTCTCACCAGCTACCTCGTCCTCCCCTCCACCTTCCCCTCACCGCCATCGCTTCTGCTGCGTTGGGGGGCGCCAAAGGCTTTGGCAGCGGAGGAGGGAGCGAGGGGAGGAAGGGGCAGAAAAGGGACCCCCACACACACTCGCGGACACACGCACAAAACGCCGCCGCCTCCCCCCCCACCGCACCGACCTGTCTGAGGCGGCCCTTTCCTTCTCGCCCGCCGGCCCGCCCGCCTGCCCGCCTGCCTTCCCTCCCTCCTCACCTTGTGGGGCTCTTCTTGTCTCCCATGCCGGCTCCAGACGCCTCTCCAGCCCGGCGCGGCCCTTTGTGTATTTGTCAATAAGGAGGAGCGAGCGAAGGAGCGGAGAGGCGGAGGCTGGGCTCTACTGCGGAGGGACTCCGCGAAAGGGGCAGGGGCAGGAGGAGGAGTTGCCGCCGCCGCCAACAACTCCCGCTTATCACTCGCTGCTTATTGCTGACGCCGCCGCCGCCACTTCCAGTTGTCGGGGAACTCCAGCTGCCGCAGCTGCTCCCGCCGCCGCCGCCGCCGCCTCCCCCTCCCCGCTTGCTGCTGCCTCACGTGTCCCCTCGTCGCCAACCAGCAGCAGCCCGCAGCCAGGCCAAAGCCGAGGCGCCCCAGCCGGCAGTGGCGGCGGCCGGCGGCGGCGTAGGGCAGGTCTCTCGCTCGGGTGGCGGCCGCGAGAGGGGCTGGAGGACCGGGAAGGCACGGAGCTCGCGCCTAAAGAGACCGCGCGGCTGCCGGCTTCCGAAGGCAGCGCTTGCGGGCAATGTTATTGCCGATTCCGACCCTGCTTAGATAAATCTGCCCTGTTTATCCTCGCCAGATAAGGATCGCCCCCAGGCGAGTTCCAATCTCGACAGTCGCTAATTCGCGTTAGAGTCTCCGCTTCGCTCGGAAAACCATTCCCTTGGATTCCGTGTTAATCCGGAGGGATCATGCCATCGTGTTCCATACTTAACAATCAGCGAGGGTTAGGATCCTGTTTTCAGCTGTGTTTATTTACTAACGCACCGAAACGATGGAAAACACGCACGCCACTATTGTATGTATGACAACGGTTTCAGGTCACAAATACAGGAGTTACCGTTCCTGGGACTCAGTAAAGGACGGTATAGAAAAGCTTTTAATAAATACATACATAAATACATACGTACGTACGTACGTACGTACGTACATACATACATACGGGATGACCAAACTGCACTGGGTAATTTTACGAGTATGGATCCACAAGTACCAGGAAGGTGAAATCCTACCTGTGATTATGAAATTGGGTTGAAGTACTTGATGGGCATTAAGTTACCTTGAATCTATAAATACACTACTCAATACTCATTACCTAGGAGGAACCAATGAAATGTATTGGCAGGTGGCTATTATTTAGGACATGGTACGTGCTGTTGTCTGGGAATTACAGCGACCCACTGAATGAAAGTCCTCCAAAATGTCCTGTCCTTGACAGCCTGCTCAGCTCTTGTAAACTCAAGGCTGTGGATTCTTTTATAGAATCGAGCCATCTCATATTTGATCTTTCTTTTTCCTTCAGCTTTCCCTAGCACTATTGCCTTTTCCTCTGAATCTTGCCTAGTCATGATGTGCTCTCAATATGACAGTCTCTGTTTAATTATATTTGCTTTCAGAGAAAGTTCTGGTTTGATTTGATTCTAGGACTCTCTTGCTCATCTGCACATCCAAGGTATTTGTAAAGCACATTTCTGAGGTATCCATAATCTACAGAACACTTCAGTTTTCAGTGTATTACCATTGTTTTAAACATTTTCCAGAAGCCAGGCTTCCAGCTGGATTGATGCTGCATGCCTCTGTAAAGCAATAGACTGTAAATGTAGGCCAAGCCTCTTTGGTCATGCCTCTTTATTTTATCCAACTTTTTTTCCTAAACATGGCAGACAACAATGAGTTTACTGCTCAGCACCATGGGAACTGACCTAAGGCATCCCTTGGGGATCGAAGCTATTTGATATCTATATGAAATCCATGAGATGTCAGCAGATGGACCAGTTTGCACTTTTGTAGGTCACGATGAGCCTATCCACCATGGCTTATTTATTTATTTAAGCCATGGTAGGTTTCAACAACCACTCTGAATAATCAGAATAATCAACCATTTTGAATAACCTCTATGGAGTTGCCATGGTTTGTCATAACATCTGATCTCATGTAGCAGGATTTTTCTAAAGTTTAAACAAGCCTCAAATAACCCTACAACAGAAGCAAAGGCAGTTCAAACATTTGACAGCTTTCTCTTGGACCTTCGTCCAAGTGCCAACCCCTTGAGAGGCTTGGAGTGTGACAACTAGGAGGAAAGCCTTTTTGGTGGTGGCCCCCATCTTTTGGAATAACCTCCCTGCTTGGCCTGTCTGGTGCCAAATATGCCATCTTTTTGGTGCCAGGTCAAAACAACCCTCTTTGCAAAAGCCTTTCATTCAGGGCCCTTTCAGCATTCGTCAGGTGCCTTTTTATTCTTGTCTTGCTCTTTTAAATTGTCTTTGTTATTGTCTTTTATTGTTTTAATGTTTTATGCTATTTTAAATTGATTTTAAATTCTTGTTAATTGTTTTTAATCTATTATATTTTATTGATTTTACACCTTGTTGTAAACTGCCCCAAGATCTTCAGCTATGGGCAGCATAGAAATGTAATTAATAATTATTATTCTGGTGACCTGGATATAGACCAGCAAATTGAAATTAAATCCAGACAAAACACAGAAACATAAAGTCAGAAGGGGTCTCCTGGGCCATCTAGTCTGACCCCCAGCTCCAGCCGGCTCTGCTCACGACATGCCCACCATGTGCATGTCTAGCCTATCTTTGAACACCCTCACCGATGGGGCCTCAACCACCTCCCGTGGAAGCCCATTCCATACCCTCAGGGTCCTAACTGTCAGGAAGTACTTCCTAGCATCTAAATGGAACCTTGGTTCCCTGAGCTTTGTTCCGTTGGAGCGTGTCCTGCCCTCCTCTGCAGGGAGAATAGGTCTCTACCCACCTCTTTGTGACACCCCCTCACATACCTGTATGTCACCAGTATTCCACCAGAACTCTAGGTGAGATATCACATGAATCAGGGCTGTTACGTTGTGAGTCTTCATGGGTTGCTCCATGGTAGTGGGAATCTATTGGATTTCATGGGCTCAGCTCCCTGGACTCTGGCCCTCTTTCTCATAGCTTTGAGTTGGACTTCCTTTTCTGCACACGTGGCTTGCAGTCTTTGTTTGTGCTGCATGTGAAGCAAAAGAAGGTTGTCTGTTGCACAGCCAGATTGAATATTCACAGTCTTCCTCTCAGCTCAGCTCACTTTCTAAGACAGGGCCAAGCACAAGAAGTCTGCAAACTTGAAGAGGGTCAAATTCCAAAGAGCTTCCTTGCAACACAAGATACAACCCATGGTTAAGCATCTTACCCTTAGTACTTCCAGCATTACTGGGTTGGTAGTGGGGAGATCAGTCCTCACACTAATGGCCTTTCTTAAAGAATTCTTGTGGTAAAAAAGAATATTTATTTTTTTTTTTCAAAAACCACTTAAAGAATACATGGCAGCAAAAGCCAATAAAACAACCTTATCTCTTAGATGACATTGAAGCAAATTGCAAATACTTCTGAAATGAAAAAAAAAATCTGTTTTACTTCTATGCACTTGTATCTAGTGCACTTTCTGTGTTTTCCACTTTGTTACTTTTATTTACATGTTCATAGATTTGGTTCTTTGCTACTTGGGTGTTTGGCAACCATCAGAAATGAAGTGGACTTAACTTCATCACCACAGAAAAATAGAACCATACCAAACTGAAATAAGAGCACTGATTTTGTACTCTGTGCATATTTGACTTCAAAACTGTCTGTGTGCTTAAATTTGTTAAGTTCACATTCCTCTACAGTTCCATTGTAACATATCAGGCAAGATGCTTGGGCACCGTGCCTAAAAAGCCATTTTTCAGCCACTGATGTTATTAATTGCATATCTGAGATCTCAGTCCTAAATATCTTCAAGCAGATTTTAATCATGTGCATTAATACAGAAAGTGCTTGCCATTTATTTCTGTCATTTACATTATGTGTTTGGTTGAGTTGGAAAGTGACTGACTGCCCCAAAGCCAAAAAGTTTAACATGCATTTTTTCTAGTCTTAAAATAGGAAATTATACACTCCTAAGAATCAAAATATATCTTTCTTTTTTCTGGTGCAACATGCTTAAAAGGGAAAACACTTTGTCATTTTTGTAGTTAATATATATTTTTAACATGAAGCAGAATTTGAACATGGGTTTAATTTTCTGTGTGTGTTTGGAATGACAGAATACTAACAAGACAAGGTAGTAAAATTTATAGAATTAGTTTAGATAGTACCTCTACTGGGAATTCAGGAGATAAGGTGTGAAGCACTACAAGTTGCATGTAAGAAGCATAATTCTTCAAATAACAGTCATAAAGTGACCAAGGGTGCAGCCAAAAAGCAGTGTTGATCTTATATTCACATCTGCTATCCATAGAATGTACACCTACATTCTAACAGGCATGTATGTTTAAAGTTAACATCTTTTTCAAAGTCTTCCTGGAATGGTAGCCAAAGTAGTTTTACAACAGCAGAAAGTTGCTACTGATGTGTTTATGCTATGACAGTTTATTTTGATCGGTTCAGCTATCCAATATTCTCTATGTATTTAGAAACCCACATGCACAGACAGGTGCTTTTAAAATACAATTTGTTTTGCTCTGGGACCTGTTGCCAGACCAGGACTGCATTTTAACTGACAGTTTAAAATGCAGATTCATGTTATGCGTCTGGAAAAATGATTTCTGTCTCTTCCGATAACAGAACTGTGAATGGCAGTGCTCCAGCTAAACAACTAAAAAGTTTTTGTTTTCAGTTGTCTAGGACAGTGGTAGTATTGCAGTAATATATCCCAGTGGAAATTCAAGATATACTGGCAAGAGTAATGTGCCCCTTCTTCACGAAAGCCACAATTGTGAGTCAATTTCAAATCACCACAACTATCCTTTTACATTCACCCCTGTCCTGCCCTCAAGATTGTGAAAGAGGGCTAGACAGCCAGCTTGGGGAAAGCTTTAGCCGCTGTTTCAGAGTGTTCAGTGGCCTGCTATTTTTCTATTAACGTTTTGCAGCTGCAAATGGGCAAAAAAGAATTATGCTTTTTCTGATTCATTCCTGTTGTGCAATACTAACTTTTCCCTGAAGTATAATGAGCACAACACAACTTCCATTCTCATCTGGGGCTTTGTACAGAGGGGTACACATTGTAAGATGGACAAGGCAAGCTATTCATGAAGGCATGGGGGATCTTTTTCTGAGAAGAGGTGTTTTCTTTTGTTTTGTTTTCTGCAAATAGCCCTCCTTTCCAATGAGAATCTCTTCTTTTTTTATTTCTTCCCCTGTACTT